GTGCGTTGTGATTGGCCAGCTGACCCAGTGCGTAGTGATTGGCCAGCTGACCCAGTGCGTAGTGATTGGCCAGCTGACCCAGTGCGTTGTGATTGGCCAGCTGACCCAGTATGTTGTGATTGGCCAGCTGACCCAGTGCGCTGTGATTGGCCAGCTGACCCAGTGCGTAGTTATTGGCCAGCTGACCCAGTATGTTGTGATTGGCCAGCTGACCCAGTGCGCTGTGATTGGCCAGCTGACCCAGTGCGTTGTGATTGGCCAGCTGACCCAGTGCGCTGTGATTGGCCAGCTGACCCAGTGCGTTGTGATTGGCCAGCTGACCCAGTGCGTTGTGATTGGCCAGCTGACCCAGTATGTTGTGATTGGCCAGCTGACCCAGTGCGTTGTGATTGGCCAGCTGACCCAGTGCGCTGTGATTGGCCAGCTGACCCAGTGCGTTGTGATTTGCCAGCTGACCCAGTGCGTAGTGATTGGCCAGCTGACCCAGTGCGTAGTGATTGGCCAGCTGACCCAGTGCGTTGTGATTGGCCAGCTGACCCAGTATGTTGTGATTGGCCAGCTGACCCAGTGCGCTGTGATTGGCCAGCTGACCCAGTGCGTAGTTATTGGCCAGCTGACCCAGTATGTTGTGATTGGCCAGCTGACCCAGTGCGCTGTGATTGGCCAGCTGACCCAGTGCGTTGTGATTGGCCAGCTGACCCAGTGCGCTGTGATTGGCCAGCTGACCCAGTGCGTAGTGATTGGCAAGCTGACCCAGTGCGCTGTGATTGGCCAGCTGACCCAGTGCACTGTGATTGGCCAGCTGACCCAGTGCGTTGTGATTGGCCAGCTGACCCAGTGCGCTGTGATTGGCCAGCTGACCCAGTGCGTTGTGATTGGCCAGCTGACCCAGTATGTTGTGATTGGCCAGCTGACCCAGTGCGCTGTGATTGGCCAGCTGACCCAGTGCGTTGTGATTGGCCAGCTGACCCAGTGCGCTGTGATTGGCCAGCTGACCCAGTATGTTGTGATTGGCCAGCTGACCCAGTGCGCTGTGATTGGCCAGCTGACCCAGTATGTTGTGATTGGCCAGCTGACCCAGTGCGCTGTGATTGGCCAGCTGACCCAGTGCGTAGTTATTGGCCAGCTGACCCAGTATGTTGTGATTGGCCAGCTGACCCAGTGCGCTGTGATTGGCCAGCTGACCCAGTGCGTTGTGATTGGCCAGCTGACCCAGTGCGCTGTGATTGGCCAGCTGACCCAGTGCGTAGTGATTGGCAAGCTGACCCAGTGCGCTGTGATTGGCCAGCTGACCCAGTGCACTGTGATTGGCCAGCTGACCCAGTGCGTTGTGATTGGCCAGCTGACCCAGTGCGCTGTGATTGGCCAGCTGACCCAGTGCGTTGTGATTGGCCAGCTGACCCAGTATGTTGTGATTGGCCAGCTGACCCAGTGCGCTGTGATTGGCCAGCTGACCCAGTGCGTTGTGATTGGCCAGCTGACCCAGTGCGCTGTGATTGGCCAGCTGACCCAGTGCGCTGTGATTGGCCAGCTGACCCAGTATGTTGTGATTGGCCAGCTGACCCAGTGCGTTGTGATTGGCCAGCTGACCCAGAATGTTGTGATTGGCCAGCTGACCCAGTGCGTTGTGATTGGTCAACTGGCCCAGTGCGTAGTTATTGGCCAGCTGACCCAGTATGTTGTGATTGGCCAGCTGACCCAGTGCGCTGTGATTGGCCAGCTGACCCAGTGCGTTGTGATTGGCCAGCTGACCCAGTGCGCTGTGATTGGCCAGCTGACCCAGTGCGTTGTGATTGGCCAGCTGACCCAGTGCGTTGTGATTGGCCAGCTGACCCAGTATGTTGTGATTGGCCAGCTGACCCAGTGCGCTGTGATTGGCCAGCTGACCCAGTGCGTAGTTATTGGCCAGCTGACCCAGTATGTTGTGATTGGCCAGCTGACCCAGTGCGTAGTGATTGGCAAGCTGACCCAGTGCGCTGTGATTGACCAGCTGACCCAGTGCGCTGTGATTGGCCAGCTGACCCAGTGCGTTGTGATTGGCAAGCTGACCCAGTGCGTTGTGATTGGCCAGCTGACCCAGTATGTTGTGATTGGCCAGCTGACCTAGTATGTTGTGATTGGCCAGCTGACCCAGTGCGTTGTGATTGGCCAGCTGACCCAGTGCGTTGTGATTGGCCAGCTGACCCAGTATGTTGTGATTGGCCAGCTGACCCAGTATGTTGTGATTGGCCAGCTGACCCAGTATGTTGTGATTGGCCAGCTGACCCAGTGCGCTGTGATTGGCCAGCTGACCCAGTATGTTGTGATTGGCCAGCTGACCCAGTGCGCTGTGATTGGCCAGCTGACCCAGTGCGTAGTGATTGGCCAGTTGACACAGTGCGTTGTGATTGGCCAGCTGACCCAGTATGTTGTGATTGGCCAGCTGACCCAGTGCGTTGTGATTGGCCAGCTGACCCAGTATGTTGTGATTGGCCAGTTGACACAGTGCGTTGTGATTGGCCAGCTGACCCAGTATGTTGTGATTGGCCAGCTGACCCAGTGCGTTGTGATTGGCCAGCTGACCCAGTATGTTGTGATTGGCCAGCTGACCCAGTATGTTGTGATTGGCCAGCTGACCCAGTATGTTGTGATTGGCCAGCTGACCCAGTGCGCTGTGATTGGCCAGCTGACCCAGTGCGTAGTGATTGGCCAGTTGACACAGTGCGTTGTGATTGGCCAGCTGACCCAGTATGTTGTGATTGGCCAGCTGACACAGTGCGTTATGACTTGCTCGTTAAGACGATGATACTGGCTGTTTCATACATAAAAGTATTTACTTGTAGCTGAGGGTCTGAGAGAGTGAAGAAGGTTGTGATTGTAACTGGTTAAAGAGATGCCTTTATACATACACTATCAAGAGTGCACGAGAAAACACTGTTAAATAGGTAATAAAGTCATTGCAGTCACATTGCATAGACTTTTTTCCTCCTCCGACTGTTTCTTTGACTGGTAGTGTGTGTTAAATAGTGTCCTACAGCTCTGGAAGTGCATGTGTGTGTGTTGTCATGTGTGATGTGTGTGACAGCTTTAGAGCAGCGAGTTACAGGGAAGACTTCGGCTCATACTTTATGACTCGTGTGTGAAAGCAGCAGATGTGTTATCAGCGTTGGACTGGGTTTCGTCTCTCTAGAGAGCTGAGCAAGCTGAAATAAAATACAGTGTGTGTGTGTGTGTGTGTGTGTGTTTGTGTGTCTCCACCCTGCCTCAAGAGCAGCGTAATCCTATTTAGTGAAATGATCTTATCTTCCCTCCCTCAATGACAGTGGTAGTATTATCCACTTAATCTTCCCAAATCCAATTCTCCTCAGTGCCAGGATAACGACTCGAGAGCGTGAGAGTCGCCCATCCATCATCTTTATTACGAGACGTGTGTCTGATGACGTCATGAGAAACATAGTTCTCACTAGTACACCTGCCAACGGCGGCGGGATCGAGAAGAATTAAAAGGTTGAATTGCTGTGCTTGCATTTTGATTATCATTATTATTTTTGTCAATCAAAAGCTCTGAGTGCTGTGATTGGCCAGCTGACCCAGTGCGTTGTGATTGGCCAGTGTCTTAGACTGTGTTTGGTGTGTCTGATCTCCTGTGTGTGAAGGTGAAGGCACAGACAGCGTTTGTTGTGGAAATATTGCCAGAGTTTCACGGTGTCTGGATTTCACTGTGTTTACTCCCCTATTACATCACGCCGCGTCCTCACACTCAGCTGTTTACGGGCGTTACGGCAATGTCATAAGATTTCAAATCTAAGATTTCAATGTATTGTCTCATACAGCAAAAGGATTCAAATATATTCTGACTAAAATATATTTTAAATGCATTCTAAATATGTGTTTCAGTGATTCCAATTCTGCTTATTTATTTCTAATTCTTATCGATTCCCAAATATAGATGTCAAACATATTTATTGTCTTTTTGAAAAACATTGTGTTGCAGCTGAACAATTTAAAGAACAACTAACTAGCAGCATAAAGAACAACTAACTAATAATATAACGTTTCAAACATTATTAATGACAAGTATTCATTCACACAAATAGCTACAAGTGAATAAGTACAACTGAAAGAAGTTCAGAAATTAAAATCAAATAGTTATCATAAGTTATAAAAGTTATTCAGTCAAGATCAGTGGTTTTCTTTTCTTTTGTTCTTTGATTCACATTAATGACACAGAGCAGGTTTATTGGGCTACTGTCACTTTAAGACCGAATGCACCAATCCAGTAGACTGTTACATGTGCTTTTTCTTTGAACCAACCGTGTTTGCAAGGATACTTTGCCATAATTTTGTGTGTATTTGTCCTCTCAAGTGCAAGAAAGAATTCAATTCAGCATTTGTGCCGAATTGCATTTTTTTGTGCTTAAATGGTTTGAAACCATTTTAAAATGTGATTAATATTATAACAATTATTCCTGACCTTAAAGTATTATTTAACTCCAGGATAAAAATTTCCTGATGATTTACTCTCCCCCTCGTCATCCAAGATGTCCATGTCTTTCTTTCTTCAGTGGAACAGAAATTAAGGTTTTTGATGAAAACATTCCAGGATTTTCTCCATATAATGGACTTCAATGGGGTCCAAACGGTTCAAGGTCCAAAAACGTAAACTTTGTTATTATTTTTATTAAATTAAATGGCTGATCGTTTCGCTAGATAAGACCCTTATTCACCGTCTGGTGTCGTTTAAAGCCCTTTGAACAGTTTGCACTGAAACTCTCGTTTGGACCTTGAACCTTTGGACCCCATTGAAGTCCATTATATGGAAAAAATCCTGGAATGTTTTCATCAAAAACCTTCATTTCTTTTCGACTGAAGAAAGAAAGACATGGACATCTTGGATGACACGGGGGTTAGTAAATTATCAGCAAAAGTTTTTAAGTGTCTGGATTTTCCCTTCCTCCTCATGACTGCGGCTCTGCTTCGACGTGTGTGATTTATTTGTTGGTTTTGTTTGTGTTTGGCAGCGTCACAGAAACCAAAGGCACCAGGAGCCCCTGTGGCGGCGTGTGGCGAACACGTTTTACACACTCCTGTTCGGGAGAGACGCCGACGCTCAGGACGGGAGGGCCAATCGGTGAAACAAAACCTGCCATCCGTGTCCCAGTCCACCTCACGGAGCGGGACGTCCAACGGCACTGTCTGGTATCTAACACGGGTTTTGAGGGGGAGAAAACGAAGACTGAGAAGATCCTCCGCAGGACGGGGGCGGTTTTTATGGCAACCTCTTTTCCCCCGACGAAGATGCCATGATGTTCTTGAGATTCTAACAGGAATATTTTCATAAACACATTGAGGTATTTTGTACAGTGTGCTGTTCGTGTTTGCACTTCCGTACGTGTATTTGAATGAGCTCCACGAGTCTTGGGAACGCCTTACCGTCCCACGCCACCGCCGAAGGGAACAGGTGAAGATTCGGATACTTTTCCTTCAGAAATCTCCCAGGACGTCACCTACAAATCTCCAAAGAGGCCGTTTCTCTGAAAAAAAAAAAAAAAAGCTTTTTGCACCTCAAATTTCTTGGTGTTTTGATGTTCTATTTACTTTTTTTTATCTCACCATTGTTGAGATTTTTTTTTAATTGTTCTTCCTGTTTTTAAATACTTACGTCCTTGTGTTTGTCGAGCAACCGAAGAGGTTTTGATGAAGTCAATGATGAGTTGATGTACTGCTGTTTTTCTCTTTTTTTAATTTCATTTCATTCAGTTCTTGGCATCAGGCTCGTCAACAATCATCCGGTAATATGGATTGGGAAATATCGTGTTTCATCGTCTACGCAAGACTTCGGGTGAAAACTGTTTTACAATAAGGTTTTATTTGTTAACACTGCGTAAACTAAAAATGATTAGTACTTTTTAATCTCAACATTTACTAAAGATTGCTAGTTGTACGGTAGTTGATGCACTGTGAACTAATATGAACATTAATAAATGCGTTAGAAAAAAATTAGACTTAAAAAAGTAAATGTTCGTGCTGCCAAGTTCAGTCAACTCAAATATCCAAGTTGTCACTCAGTACTTCACATATTAATTTGAACTTAAACTTTAAAGTTTTAAGTTGAATAAACACATATTGTTAATTGTTACACTGTAAAAAAAGTTGCTGCCTTAAATTAAGTACAATCAACTTGTGTTGTTTAAGTCATTTCAACTTAAATTACATTAAACTGACTCATTTAAAAAATGAGTTGAATCTTGAATAACTTATGACAAAAAGTTGAAAATTGCTTAACTTATTTTGATGAGTTTACGCAAAGTTAAAACGTGTTGTCATAACTTATTGATCATGTCATTTTTTACAGTGTAGTTAATGTATTAACTAATGTTAACAAATAAGATTTTATTGAAATTCGGTGATATAATTTTTTTTAAATATTAGAATAAACGGTAACACTTTACAACACGTTTCCTTACAAACTAACAATAATAAATACTTTTAAAGCTTGTTTTAACCCAACTTTGAGTCAAATATGGACAAACCCAAACGTTGGGTTAAAAATGTAATTTAAAAATGTAACCCAATGGCTGGGTTTGTCCATATTTGACCCAAAGTTGGGTTAAAACAAGCCAGCATTTTTAGAGTGTAAATAGTGATTATTATCACGCAACGTTAGCAAAGATAAAGTGTTACACGTGTATTGCTCATTGTTAGCTGATGCGCTAATGGGACCTTATTGTATAAATGTTTAGCAAAAGTGTGGACTTTACGTCTCCGACTCACTCAGGTACTTCAATCCACTCCATTTGAAACGGCCAATAGATAAAGCATCATTTCCGTGCCTACGACGTGAACAGAACGACCTAGACTGTGTTTACACTAACATACAGCACACATATCAGCCTCAGCCTTATTGTAGTCGTCGTCGGCTCTCTTCATGTGTCGTTCAGTTGTTGTATATCATCTTAAACATGGCCGTCGTGTCATGGCCTGCGAGCAATACTGTGTGACTGCATTACTTCTCCTCTCAGGACACTTGCGCCTGTTTTATTTGTACTTGTATATCTGTCAGGTGATCTGGACAGGTTTGGTGGTGTACATTTCTTTTCTTTTTTTAATAGAACCACTACTTTATTTGTAAAAGACGTGAGGAAGAACTTCTGATTATGTTTGAAGACACTGATGCATTCAATGCTGTTTCTCTGATTTGTCTGTCCTGTATTTTATTTGATTTTTTTCATCTTGAAGGAGTGACACACATTTTGTGATTTTTTTCGCCAACATGCAATTCGTTCATTTAAAACCAGACATGTTGGCAGAATGATTAAATGAAGGACAGCATATAAATAATTTTTTGAATACCGATGAAAGTCGTCATCATTTATCAAATATTGAAATCCAGTGACATTCAGCTCATATTTTCACCCCAATAATCAAAAGAAAGAAGCAAAGATTTTTAGGGCCATTTAGTTTCATTACTTGATATAAAATAAAATACAAAATGCTAGTTATTTTATTTCAGCCAGTTCCCAGAAGCAAGATTTCACATTTTAATTTAGTTTAACTTAATGCACTAAAATAAAAAACTATTAAAAATGACAACAAAAAAAAATTAAAGTGTAAAACCAAATTCAAAATATTAATAAATACAAAAAAAAATGTCTTAAAGATACTAAAATAATACTTAATTTGTAGTTCAGTTCGGTTGTAAGTATTCATCATGGTAGCGATTTCTCTACCGCCTTTTAATTGATAATGTTTTTTTATGCTTTTAATATTTGTTTCCTATTTTTTTCTCCCTGATGTACATGGGGAGTAATAAATTGATTACTTAATTGAATTAATGCTTAAAAATCTGGTTTATTTTCATCACTGAAATACAGCATTGAATTACAGTATATTATATTGAATTATATTCAGTAATATAGAGGAAAATCAATGATTCAGATTCAAGTTCTGCCGCAAAGCAGCTCAACAAAAAATAAATTGTCTTTATTCGATTCACTTTTCAAGACAATAATGACAATGTCAATGCAAAGTAATGAAAAATGGCTTCTTTACACTCTAAACAATACTGGGTTATTTCAACCCAAATCTGGGTCAAATATGGACTAACCCAAATGTTGGGTTAAAATGTACAGTTGAAAGTGAAAGTTCAACGTTTTAAATGACATCTTTAACCCAACGGTTGGGTTTGTCCAGATTTGGGTTAAAACAAGCCATCTTTTTTTCGAGTGTACCTTCTGATTGCGAGGTGTAATATGAGTGGTGTGTGTTGGCCTGTGCTTTGGTACATTAGTAGATTACAGGTACAGTGTGTTGAATGTTGCTCGAGGTGAACGAGAGTTTCCTGCAGATCGTGAACGCTGAGCCAGAGCCACTCGTCCGCCTCTTCTAGCCCGAATGTGCACTCCTCCACTTCTTATTTATTTTATTCCTTTTTTTATGTGTATATCGACTCGTTGCTACTGTATACATTTCACTGTGCAATTCCTTTCTTTATATGCCTTGATACTAACGTTTTTGTCGTGCATTTCTGCCGTTTTGTTGTGTTGCTGAAGGAGGATTTTAATCTCCAGAAATCTGGTCACTGTTGTTCAAATCAACAAAGTGCCATCAGATGAAATCAGAACAATCCGGAGAGATTATTTTGTATAATTGCGTATTGTGTAAAATCAGGTGAATCTCACGCAAACATGTCCAGGTGGTGTCCAAAATCCACCAGAAAAGGTTCAATTTAAATCAATTATATTGATTAATCAAGATATATTTTATTCCATGCATGGTCTGTCTGGATACTCGATTCTGATTGGCTGAAATAAAACCGTTTAATGCACAAGTAGTTCCAGTCGGTTTAATCACTGTTCTGTATTAATGCGCTGCTTTCACACCGATCGGATTGCGCTGCGCTCACACACTCTGGGTTGTTTTAACCCAACTTTGGGTCAAATATGGACAAACCCAAACGTTGTGTAAAAAATTTAATTAAAAAATTTACCCTAGTGGCTGGGTTTGTCCATATCTGACCCAAAATTAAGATTAAAACAACCACTCTTTTTAGGTTATCTGAAAACATATTCAGACCCAAACGAGTCTTAAAGGAGTAGTTCACTTTAAAAAAAACTTTTGCTGATGATTTACTCACCCTCATGTCATCCAAGATGTCCATGTCTTGCTTTCTTCAGTCGGTTTTTGATGAAATCATTCCAGGATTTTCTCCATATAATGGACTTCAATGGGGTCCAAACGGTTCAAGGTCCAAAAGAGAGTTTCAGTGCAAACTGTTCAAAGGGCTTTAAACGATTCCAGACGATGAATAAGGTCGAAACGATCACTCATTTAATAAATAAATAACAGTTTTAAGTTTTATAAGCTCAAATGCTCGCCTTGCTCTGTTCTGTGATGCGCGTTCGTGATTCTCCTGTTCGAACTCGTTCATCAAAATGAACAAATCTTTTTTCGAGTCATGACTCGAAGGGTCCTTGATAAGACCCTTATTCATCGTCTGGAATCGTTGATGAGTAAATTATCAGCAAAAGTTTTTTTAAAAGTGAACTACTCCTTTAAAGTGAGAGTATACAGCTATAAAATGAGCAGCTCGGATGGTTTCGTTAGAGTTTATAATGAGTTTATAATCGATTCTTGAGACCTATAGTTCTGACTGAACAGCCACTTTTCTTCAGATTTTAGTGTAAAATATGACCTGGACATGTTTGTTATGCCTCCCCCGTGAGCTTCACTCAATCTTTTCATGAAATGAATGAGGAAAAAGTGATGATGAATTTGTCTAAAACCTTGTTCAATCGTCCCAGTCTCCTAAAGATCTGCTGAAATCAATCACAGCTGTGTTAATGAAGTGCTTCATCATCTCTGTTTCTCTCTCTCTCTACATGCACTGGAAAGTACTTTGTGTTTGGCTGAATCTCAAGGGTTCTCGAATCCCAGTGTTATAGTCGCTCGTCTCAACTTCTTGAGATGTCAGGAATATATTTTTTGTGTCTTGGATGTTTTTAAGAAGCCTGTATTAGTCTGAAATCAACACCCCATGATGAAGCCAACAGTGTCTTTAACTGGATTTCTCTCCATCTTTGTTGTGTTTTTGTAGTTTTGTAAGTTGATATGGACTGCTATTGTTGGGGCTCATTGGTTTTGGTTTCCAAAACGGATTTTCTTACTGAATTGGTGGCTTTTTGAAGGCAGATGTTTTGATATTTTAAGGGCTCTTTTTAATCTTAAAACATTCCTTGTTAGTCTTCAATGAATCTACCGCTGATGATTTACATTGAAATGAACCCGTTCAGAAAGCCATTTTTTATTGTAAGTATCTTTGGTTGGTGCGAGGCTCACACACACTCACTGTACACCGAGAAATGAGACCCAGCGAAGATGTAGCATGTGTGTAAACATTGGGACTGTACTCTCTGCACTCCTCACGGTGGTTTCTGTTTTTAATACAGTATGGAAGTTTTAGGTTTTGTTATATAGTGCAATATGCTGTACATAAGAGCTTTGCTCTACAAAATACTTTTCTGAAGTTTTTTTTTTTTTTTTTGGTTGTTTCATTGGTACACTTTTTTCAATAAAAACATATTAAAGTCTGAATGTTTCTGAATCATTATTATTTCTAACTAGTCGCACTATAAGTTGACCAAGCTCAGCTCTGAGGATCGATGCAGAGTGCTTTTTAATTTGTTTGCTTTCTATTTAATCTACTTTTATTATGTAAAATGACCCCATTTGAGATCCTTCATGTTTTACTGTTTTTTGAAAATGCGCTTTTTTTATTGTTTGATTTTATTTGATCAAAATAGTTCTGAACTTGCAGGTCAATGTTGTTTTAGTAGTATTTAGTATAGTATTTATTAATCTTTTACAATAGATTTTATTATATATAATTTCCATATGAATTTTTATGAGTTATATATATATATATATTTAGCTTTATTTTATTTTCAATAATTTTGTTATGAGCTTTTGTAATTTATATATATATATATATATATATATATAAATTACTGAAAATTAATTAAAGATAAATATATATATATATTTATATATACGTGTATAAATATATACCTTTAATTTATTTTCAGTAATTTTTTATTTGCTTTTGTCCTTTTTATTTTGGGGTTGTTATATTTCTATT